CAGAGTGGGGAGAATGAGCGAGAGAGAGGTAACGGAACTTCTCTCTCGCGCTCATTCTCCTTCTCCCCACTCCGGACTCAAGCTCCGCCTATCTTTTACTATTACCTTCCATCCCTCTTCCCTTAATCTTCAAATAATTTGAACAAACTCCGACAAAACTGAATTATTTCAACTAAAAAATTATTTTAGCTACAACAGTTTTACTTTTTTGAAAAAAAAATAGAAAAACAATTAATGAAAAAAAAAAATAAAATATCGGGAAGTGTAAACAATGAGATAATAATTAAACAAGAAGACGAATAATGAAAACTTCTCAGAATTTCAAGGGGGAAAAAAGAATTAAAAAAAAAAAAAAAAGAATTAAACTCGAAAGATTTCACATTGTAGTGAAAATTAAACAATGAGGTGTGACGAATCATTGAAGGGAAATTGAAGAAGAAAATGGGTGATAATAGAGGCCGATCGAAACTTCATTGAACCGATACTTACCCCCGAGTTGCCCTTAGAAAGTAATATTATAATAAATATCATAATAGAGGCATTCAAACAATGAACAAGTATGTCAACGTTGCGCCGAGGAGACTACTCCCGGAGAGCAAAAGACACTTTGGTATTTATCGCGTCGAATACTTGGAAACGCGGACACTGTGTAAACAAAAGGTGTCCATGTGCCATGTGCTTATCATGATTTACGCAGTCATACACACGAGAAAGTAGAATCAATCGACAAATGTGGGAAATGACAATAGTAATGTAGATCTCTATTGATAATTTGTCCAACTATGATAGTTGTAAGTTTACTTGGGACACGAACCTTCTGACCTCACACTGTTCTCTCTATATTCACAATTTTGTTTTATATTCATTTTTTTATGTTTCTTCTTCTTTCCTATTTTTATATTTTTTGTGTTTACATTTCTTTTTTATATTTATCTTTTTTGTGTTTAAATATTTCTTTTTTTTTAATATTTTTTTGTACTTCTCATTTTTGTTTACTTTTTATGTTTTCTTTTCTATATTTATCTCTTTTAGGCTTGCTTTTAAGTTCATATTTTTTTTTATTTATCTTTATTATATTTTTTTCGTATTTTTTCTAAAGGTGAAAATCAGTTTTTTCCGTTTATCCATTTCGAGTAAATCTACCTTTGAATTCTGAACTAATTACGAAGATATCAGTAATTACCAGTGAGAAGAGAGGCGAAAAATAAGCAGTAAGAGAAAAAGAGGGCGGAGCTTGACTCCAGAGTGGGGAGAATAAGAACGAGAGCGAGAGAGAGGTAACAGAACTTCTCTCTCACGCTCATTCTCATTCTCCCCACTCCGGACTCAAGCTCCGCCTCTCTTTCGCTGTTACCTTCCGCACTAGTGAATTTAAACCTAAAACAATTTAAATAAGTCGATAAAAATCAATATTTTTGTCAATAAAAAAAGAATCAAATACTTTAGTTTATTATTTATTTTTTTCGGTTACAAAAAAAAATTTTTATTTATCTAAGAAATTGTACTGATTGCAAAATCTGACGTGTATGTGAATAAACATAAAGTTCATTAAGAATAAATAATAAAAAAAATAATCATAAGATCATTAAGAGTTCATTAGCGACAAAATGAATAATATCAAAAATTTAATGAATGCCTAAAATTTTATCAATCTCTCAAGTTTTATAGTTTCCAACAACCATTAATATTTATATTGATAAACTTTTGCTCACTTTTGCCATTACATCGATTTTTTTTTATTATCTGTGAATTGCAATAAATTTATTATAATAGTATGAAAAAATAAAAAAAAAAATTCCAGAATTAGAATTGCAAAAAATTTTCCAATACGAAAACTGTGAAAATATGTCAAATGTACATAAATTATGTTTATTTCCCATTTCTTTTGTACTGATGCACATAGTCTTAATCCACGTGTCTGCGGTGAGCACCAAAGTCACGTTTTCTTGAATACTTCAGAATAGAGTCTAAATCTTGTTCACCACGACAATCGGGAAGCACGTAATATATTGTCTTTAAAAAAAAAAAAAAATTCTGAATCATCGAAAAGTCAGCTCGTCAAAGGCAAAAATTGTTGACTTGAAAAAATAATATTTTATATTGATTAAAACAAGATTTTTGATATATCTTACCTTCCACTTTTTTAATAAATTGAAAAATAATCTCTTCTGATTAAAAAAAAATGTTAAAAAAAATTTAATTTGAAAATTGATTTGAAAATTGATCTGAAATCATATACGTGAAAAAATGCAAGGCAAAAAAAAATGAAGTTGACAATTTTTGAACGATAAAAATTTCAAAACACGAGAGATAAATTTTCAATGTCAACAGTTAATTAACGTTACAGTTGATAGCGGGTATCATATTTTCCTAGTTGGATACCGAAAGTTTCACTCTAGAGATATAATTACGAGATGGCTCATATGAAAGTAAATTAAATTAAACTGCTAACACAATAGGTAAAATAATAGACGACGATTGTTTCTTAACAAGAAATCTACAAGAGACAATTGAAAATTGAATAACGATCACGTGAAAGTTCGTATAGAAACTTTGTGTGATTCTCCATATATATTATATGTAATATCTATAAATAATATGTGCATTGAATATAAATAAATGTTTAATTAATAAAATTATTATAATTAATATTATTTATAATAAAAATCATATAATAAATGTTTCATTATTATTAATATCAATTAAAATTAAATTAATTATAATAAAAATTAGTAATAACAATAAATATTATTTATTAATTTATTATTGTATATAAATAAATGCATATTACTTATATACTCTATAAATTTGAATTAGTGACTGAATTTTTGCTTTTAAATTAGTAAATTTTACTAATAACAGTAATTTCCACTAATTTATTAGTAAAATTTACTAATAATAGTAATTTCTACGAATTTATTAATAAATTTTACTAATAATAGTAATTTCTACTAATTTATTAATAAATTTTACTAATAACAGTAATTTCCACTAATTTATTAGTAAAATTTACTAATAATAGTAATTTCTACTAATTAATTAGTAAATGTTACTGATAATAGTATTTTCTACGAATTTATTAATAAATTTTACTAATAACAGTAATTTCTACTAATTTATTAACAAATTTTACTAATAACAGTAATTTCCACTAATTTATTAGTAAAATTTCCTAATAATAGTAATTTCTACTAAATAATTAGTAAATGTTACTAATAATAGTAATTTCTACTAATTTATTAATAAATTTTACTAATAATTTAGTAATTTCCACTAATTTATTAGTAAAATTAACTAATTTATAAGCAAAAAGTCAATTACTGATTCAAATTAATAAAAATTTTTACTAATTAAAATTTAGAGAATATTTATTTATTTATATGAATAAACAAATACATATAATATTATATTATTCAAAACTGAAATTTATAATTTTCTTATAAATATTTATTGATGAAAAATTTTTTTAAAAAGAAACAAAAATATGACTTGTAAGATATAGATACTGCATTAAAATATAGATGTTAAAAAAATATAACGATTCACAAATAAATGTGACATCACAAATTTCAGGAAAATAATGTTATGTCTTTCTAACAATAAAGGATATATATAAATATATTTTAACTTGAGTGTTCGTTGAAAAGTTTTAATAGAAGAAGAAATTTCATTATAACTTATGTTTCAACAATTTCCCACAATTCCTTTTCATTCATAATTCATCTATACATAAAGGAGAAATTCAAATGTTTCATGATTTAGAATTAAAAAAAAAGAAGAAGAAGAAAAATTGAGCACGCAATTATTTAAATACTGATTCCCGGATAAAAACTGTGAAATATATTATAATTCCACTTTGAATCTATATATCTTATGTAAGTAATAAAAATTCACCTCAATAAAGTTTAACTATATTTTTTGCAGGTTTTAAAATTTTTCGAAAAACATTTATTTTAACAAATGACATTCGAAAAATTAGAAATTTTAAAAATAATTACTCATTTGTTTTTTTGGTATTGAATTACAATAATGAATGACAAAAATCCAAATTATAATAATCATAAACTGAAAATATTTATAAGAAAACAAAGTTTTTATGAAATAAGAAATAATTTCAACTTTAACTTTGTATTGCTTTTTATATTAATAATATTGTTATTATATAATAAAATTTAAATTCTCAATTTTAAAAAATCACAATTATTGAATTGTTAATGAATTTTTTTTAAACCAAATAATAATAAATGTATTAAATAAATAAAAGATCTTGAAATATTATTTGGTCTAATGGCGCCAGCCATTAGACCAATTAATATTTCAAGATCTTTTATTTAATTATTATTATTATTATTTTTTATTAATATTATTATTTTTGTTTTCATTATCACAATTATTTTATTTTTATTATTATTAAAAAATACTTTTCTTGAAAATTGAATCATAAGAAAAAATCAATTATAATTTTAAAATATTGTTTTCTCATGAAACTTATTAGTTAAAAAATATTTTAATATTAAATTCAAAATTATTTTTTTCAAGGAATGCTACTTTGGATCTTGGATTTTATTTGGTTCAGTATTTTGGTGCCATCTAGGAGACATTGTACATACGATTTTATTGAAGCGACTGACTTCAATGATAATAATTAAATTATGAATTTGAAAATATTAAAACAAAATTTTTTTTTGTTTAAAATTTAGTTGTAAAATTTAATTTATTTTATTCATTTTATGAATTTTTTTTTCATTATTAACGTTGCTTTTAATTTTTAATTCTGTTCTTTTTAAATCTGTTTCAGATTTTTTCCCTGTGGTATATAATAAAAAATATTTTCTATTATTAATAAAATAAATAAAATAAATAATATATAAGAATTTCTATATTAATAGTAAAATAAAAAAATTTATTTTTGAAATTTATTTTATATATTATTATTAAAGAATAATAAAATAAAAAACAGGAAATAATGAAAATGGGTTTAATAATTATTTACAATTATATTTGGTGAAAAAATAAATAACTTTAATATTCATTATTTATACAAAGTATGAGGTATACGGTAATTATGTAGATTACAAATATGTTCACAATTTACATTTTGTCGTTTCTTTCTTTTTTTTAGTATTTTTTTCCAATTACAGAATATGTGATATTAAATTTTTAATTTTCTTATACATAACGATTTCTTTTTTATACAAAAATTCGAATATATCAATATATATATATATTTTTTTTATATGTTTAACAAAATTCTCATCGTTTGATAGTAAAATCATTTGTTAGGCTTTAACATTTTTTTCTCATCACACTTTATGAGAGTCGGAATATTTTTATTTTTAACATTTATATCACAAAATAAATCCCTTGGCTAAAAAATTGACTTTCAATATATTTGAGTTTATTAAACTATTATTATTCTTATTCTTATTAATAAATTGAATTGAAAAAAATAATCTCGCGTCAAAAATGTAAAATTTCCATAATATAAGGATTTCAATAATGAAAAATCAATTTTTATATAAATGGGAAGTCTTTGTTTGGCTTATTAGAAACAACATCCGATCGAGTGCATATCGATTGGAGGAATTTAAATGAAAAAATTTTTTAAAGAATTTCAATATTTTCTCCGATTTTTTTGTCTGTTTTTCTTAAGTCCAATCAAATCTAATCGAATGCATCGATTGGAGGGAGAAGTTTTTGAAAAAATATAATTTTTTCCGAATGTTTTTCAATTTTTTCGTTCAAGGACAACTCCAATCGAGCGCATCGATTGGAGTTGAAAGCAAAAAAAAAAAAAGAAAATCGTCCTTGAAAAAAACGTATCGGCTTTTTTTTTTTGAAAACAAAATTTTTCTTTTCGTAAAATATCGTTTTTGATGGAGAAATGAAAAAAGGTTTTTTTTTACGAAAAACAAATACGAAACAATATATACTGAAGAAACAAAAATTGCTTTAGAGCAAAAATGAACAATTAATATTGAGCAAAAAGAAAAAAAAAGTAAATTTCGAATTTATTTACTGTCGGAGGGATAAAGAACTGCGGCTAAAATCTGTTGCATTTGTATTCTCACATCCAATTTCTTATTTTCCGGGATTTGTCGAAGAATGGGAAGTAACGAGAGTAGAAACATCTTATCATAATCCTCTTCCTCAATCATCGAACGTTGTCCATTGTTCGATATCATGTCTTGAAACTCGTTATCAAAAGGAGCTATGGAAGTTTCGCACATTGGCTTCGAATATCGAACTGTTGGCAACATTCTATAGTTTCCTGACGAGTTGACAGCTTGAACGTAATCCTTTGACGTGCCAGCTTCATTTCCCGAGATTTCGTAATCATCAAATACAGGATTATCGGCCTCCCCCTCACTCTCCTCTGTTTTACAATGATTTACATAATTGTTCTCTCTTCTGAAATGCAAAAAAAAATATTTTTTTTAATATAAATTTATATTTATATAATACCTATTAATTAATTAATTAATTAATTAATTAATTTCTTTATTTATTTACTTATGTTATTTATTAATTTAATTATTCATTTACCTGCTTAATTAATATATTAATTTATATATATGTAAATTTTTATTTCTTTTTATGTTTTTGTTTCTAAATTTTTTTTTCGAAAAAAGTTTTGGCATCATTTTATGTTTTAAAATACTTAAATTTAACATAAATTAAAAAATTAAATTATATTAAATTATATTAGATTATATTAAATTATATTAAATTTAATTAAATTAAAAATAAAATTTTAAATAAAATAGGGGAGAGTCTCCAGTTGTGAGGCGGGTTTCATTTTTGACCCGTAAATTGTAAACGGGCAAACGAAATTGTAAATAAAATATACCGTTCGAAAGGTAACAGAAATACACAACTTTTATTAAAAGAAAGTATAGTGTTTCGATGAACTCAAAAAATTTTACGATACATTTTCCGAGCACATCGCTTTTTTCAAAAAAAAAAAATGTCTCCAGTTGTGAGACACTCATTAAAAATTGCTAAAATTTAATAAGTTTGACATAAAACGTTATGTTTAGTAGAAATAATTAAATATATTAATAATATATATTATTATATACTAAATAATAATATTTATTCGCCAAAATATGACTATCAAATAAACACAATTTAATAGCTTCAACAAGAGCATTAAAATTGATTTCTTCTGAATCAATTGACTTTTTTCCACTTGACATGCCCAAAAATACTAGAAAAAAGAATCAAAACAACATTTAAATAGTATGCCTGCAAAGTAGTATTTTTTATGCTGCCCAGATGAGTGTTGACACCGTCTCACAACTGGTGATATGCTGTGTCTCACACCCAGAAATTGGCGCTATTTTGAAAAAGGAAAATTAAATTATTTTCAACCGTAGATTAGAACAATGCAATGTTGCATCACAAAATATAAGGAAAACACTAAAAGAAAATGCATTACATTTACCTTTTCCAATTAATTAACTTGGAAAAAAAGTACTTTGCATTTATTGAAAAAACGCTTTTTAGTCGATTATCACACACAGTGTTGGTATTTAACAAAAACAGTTTATATATCCGCCTCGGTGTACACGAAATAGTTGGCTCATATAAAAAGAAATGTTTTTATGTAAACCAATCGGCTTTTTAATATTGCATGTTAAAAAAAATTGACTGTCTCACAACTGGAGGTGTCTCACAACTGGAGACTCTCCCCTACTTATATTTTTAAATGTTTTAAAATTTGGACGAAAAAAAATTTGAAACTATAAAAAAATATAAATTTATAAGAACTGTGAGAGAAGGAAAAAAAATTTGTTTTTGTTTACTTATTTGATAGTTGAGGTACTTGATAAGAGTACCTCTGCTTGTTCTCGATCGAGGGCATTAAAAATTGAAGCTGATCAAAATATGTATAGCGCTTCCGTTTCCTGCCTGCAGAGCCGGCGAGATTTTTTAAATTTTGCACCTTCAGTTCTTTCATGAAATAATCTCGTATATTTCGCCACTTTCCCCTTAGATTCTTTTCTGAAAATGTGCAAAATTTTATTTCCTTTTTTTTTGTTTGAAACTAAAAATAAATAATTGAAACAATAAAATTCGGAACTGCATCCTAAATTACTTTAAAAATAATGTTAGTAGGTAAATAATTACCTAATTATTATTATTTGAATTATTATTATTATTATTATTATTATTATTTTTATTTTTATTATTATTATTATTACTACTGCTACTATTATTATAATGAATAAAATAAAATAAAAAAAGATTATTATCATTAATATTTGTATTACTTTGATTAAAAGTTTATTTCTAAAAGAAATGTTTTTTTTAAATAAAGACATTACTTGAAAAACAAATAATTAGGTAATTATTATTATAATTAATTTTATTATTATTACTTTTAATAAAAATTTATATATAGTAAAACATAAATCATTTTTACTAAACTTTGAAACGAAGATAAAGCTTTCCCTTAAAAATGACTACAATTTGATATAAACAATAAACATTTTTTTATTATTTATTATTTAACAAACAAAAAACAATTGTTTCCTGCTTAATAAATTAAATATTAAGATAATAATTAATATTTGTCAAATCGTTTGAATAAAATTTAATTTCCGAAACACATTAGAATGTTACAAACGTAAACGGTTTAAATTTAAACTATTGAAATTTTAATTCATTGTTTAAAATAATTTATTCAATAACAAAATAATCAAAAACAAAAGAAGGCATTTTGAAAATTTGTTTTAAATAAATATTACATTTCATAATTTTCTGGCAAAAAATTATATTTAAAAAAATGTCATTTCAGTAGACATAACATTTTATAAATACTATTTGTGCAATATAATTTTTCTAAAATAAAATTGTTTAGACAAATAATTTAATTATTTTATACAATAATTATTTATTAATTATGATATTTACTATTTTTATTAATTAAAAAAAATGATATTTATTAACAAACTGCACAAAATTTTGTTATAAAATTAAAAATCTAATGAATATTTATTAAGAAAATTTTTTTTCCTTTGTTAAAACAAATAATTTATTTGCATTATGCAATATTTATTCATTTTTAAAAAAATTTATAATTATTTATAATATTTACTATTTTATTAACAAATTACCTATGTATAAATTTTTTTTTAAAACATTAAAAAATTTTTAGAAAACAAAATTTCCTTCCCGCTTGTTTAAACAAATAATATATTTGTATATTGTAATATTTATTTATTTTTTATAATATTTACTATTTCTTAACAAATAATGTATAAAATTTCCTTTGATATTTAAAAATTTATTAAGAACACAAAATTTTTTTTACGTTTGTTTAAACCAATAATTTGTTTGTATCTTGTTATATTTATGTTTCTTTTTGTAATATTTACTATTTATTAACTAAAAATGTATAAAATTTGCTTTTAAACATTAAAAATTTATTTAAAAAACAAATTTTTTTTTTTTTTTTTTTTTTTTTAATCAAATAATTTATTTTTAACTAATATTATTTATTATTTATAACATTTACTATTTATTATCAAAAAATGTATGAAATTTTCTTTGAAAAAGTACAAATTTATTAAGAACATATAATTTTTTTACGATTGTTAATATAATTTTTTTAAAAATTTAGTTTATGTAGATGTAAAAATTTTTTTTTCTAAACAACTTTCTTAAGGTTTCAAAGAAAATTTTATACACTTTTTGTTAAGGAATAAAAAAATAGAACAAAAAAATGTATTAAATTTTATTTGAAAATAAAAAATTTATTAAGAAATTTTTTTTTCGTTTATAACAAACAATTGTACAATTTATTATAAAAAATAATTTATTATAAAAACGAATAATTTATTTATATTATGTAAAATTTATTTATTATTTATAATATTTATAATTTATTAAAAAAATGTATGAAATTTTTTTTGAAACATTAAAAATTTATTTCGAATACAAAAATTATTTTACGTTTGTTTAAACAAATAATTTAATTGTATTATTTAATATTTTATGTATATTATTTTTAATATTTACTATTTATTAACAAAAAAAGGGTATAAAATTTTCTTTAAAACCTTAAAAAAATTATTTAAAAAAAAAATTTTTACATTTACATAAACTAAATAAAAAAAAATTTTATTCAGATTTAAACAAAAAAAAAAAATTTTGTAATTTTGTTTCAACAAATTTTGTAACAATTCTTGTTCATAAGAGAGTTATCGTTTGCTGATAATATAGAAACTCCAATGAAGAAATCTTCCATTGTAATTTTCCAAAAAAAATTCAATTATTTAAATATTATTCAACTACTAAGCAAATTGTATAATAATTATAATTGCTAATTGTAAGTTACAGGATAATTATAATTTCGACAAATATGAATTATTCGGTAAATGAAATTTTTTTTCTAAATTACATATTGCGGATAAAAACGAAAATAATCATAAATTTTATGACTGAAAAAAAATTATTTAAATAATTCGCAAGTGAAAAAAAAATTTTTTTTTTTAATTTTGTGAGAAAATTTTTAAAAAACGTTTTAGAAGAAAATTTTGTGAGAAAAAATAGGAGAAAAATTTTCAATATTTTGTATGGTACGAAAATCTAAAGTGTAATATACACAACAAAGTATTTGGGATTAAAAGCAAAAATTTACCGGTTTCCCCCACTTATTATTTTCAATATACTATATAACCACACTGCAGGTATCGAATATTCACGCAGATGGCTTTTAAGTTGTAACGCTGTGTTGACCGCGCACATTTTTTCCCTTTTTCTTTTTATTACCTTCGACAATGCGTTCCTCGTCTGAGAGAGTTGGCCAGTTACGTATCATCACTTGACAAACCTCGTCCCATGCTGCCAATTTTGCCGTTCTGTCGTTGTACTCATCGCAATTAGTATTATAAATTGCAGGACGTTTTTCAATTTCGCTGATGAATCTTTCCGTGTCGAACATGGCTGCCGAGTTTAAGAAGAGAGCACGTGTTTGAAATTATTTTTTTTGTTATTTTTTTTTTTTTTCAACGGAAATAAGAAATGTTTCCCTTACCTTCAATGTATACATTCAACGTTATTTATCTCAAAAATTATTTTTTTCAAAAACAAAAAAAAACATCTATTTTTCTATTTTTTTCTGAGAAAAAAAATAGTTTAAATTTTTTTTTTATTTTCACAATTTTTTTTGCACTTAAAAAAATTAATTTTTTTTTTTTTGAATGGAGAGAAAAAAAAAATTGACAAAGAAGAGAGCGGAATGCGTTTCTCACTGACGAGGAATGCCAGATGAAGGCATACGCGTCACTGCGGAGAAACGCATTCTCTGCTGAGCATTCAGTCAATTCTGTATATGCGGCATTGCTGCGGCTGCGGCTGCCGCGCGGAATTCATTGTACTCGCTCGATAAATTCAACACGGAAAAGAAGGGATCTTATGTATCAGTTTTTTTTCGCCAGGGGAAAAAAAAATTTCTTCTTACCATTAAAGCACTTTGTCAAAAATATAATTTAAAAAATATTTTTTTTCTTTTAATTATTTTATTAATTAATTTTATTTAATTAATTTAATTTTAATTTTTTTAATTTTCAAATATAATTTTTAATTAATTCTTTTTTAAGGGCATTTTTGATAACTATTATGACGTCACAGTTTGTCTAAAGCATGTGTCCTAAATCCTTGACGTCATAATGGTTCAAATGCTCTTAAAACAAAATTCATAATTAAAAATTATAATTAAAATGTTTAGTATAAAAAATTTGTTCAAAAAAAATTTGTAATTAAAAAATTATTTTTTTAAGGGCATTTGAACCAGTATGACGTCATAGCTTTAGGACACATGCTTTACACAAACTGTGACGTTATAATAGTTCAAATACCCGTAAAAAAATAATTTCATATTTTCAAATTTTTTTCGAAAAAATTTCTATACTAAACATTTTAATTATAAGTTTTAATTACGATTTTATTTAAGAGCACTTGAACCAGTATGACGTCATAGCTTTAGAAAACATGCTTTATGTAAACTGTGACGTCACAATGGTTCAAATGCACTTAAGCAAAAATTTCTTAATTATATAAAAATTATAATTAAAAAGTTTAGTATAAAAAATTTGTAATTATAAAATTATTTTTTAAGGGCATTTGAACCATTATGACGTCACGATGGTTAAAAGCAGGTTTCCTTAAGCTGTAACGTCATGGTTCAAATGCCCTTAAACAAAAAATTATTTTTTAATTACTTTTTCGAAAAAAATTTGTATACTTAACATTTTAATTATAATTTTTAATTAAGAATTTTTTTAAGAGCTTTTGAACCATTATGACGTCATGGTTTCAGGACACATGCTTCATACAAACTGTGACGTCATAATGGTTGTGAAATGTTCTTAAAAATATTCGTAATTAAAAATTATAATCAAAATGTTTAGTGTAAAAAATTTTTTCGAAAAAGTAATTTAAAAAATATTTTTTGTTTAACGGCATTTGAACTATTATGACGTCAAAGTTTGTGTGAAGCATGTGTTCTAAAGCTGTGACGTCATAATGGTTCAAAATGCCCTTAAAGAAAAAATAATTTTTAATTACAAATTTTTTTGGAAATTTTTTTTTATACTGAACATTTTTTTTTTTGGTATGTTAAAAAAAAACTATTTTTGTTTGTCATAAAGATGAGATAGATAAGAAAGATTAAAAATGAAGCGCACGTGGCAATAATATATTGCGAAAAAAAAATTAATATATTTTATAATTGTTTATACAAGTTGATTAAATGAGACTTTATAAAAAGCAGTTGACCTTTTAAATTTTATCAAGTTTTTACAGTTTTAACTGTTTAAAAGAGGTGAACGAAATACTCGAATATAAATGTATTATTTTGCGCTGATAAAAAGAAGTTAAAATAAAAGAAACAAAAAGCATTGTTTTTTTGAGATTTTTATGATATTTGTTGTTGTAATTTAGTTGAATTTCGATCAGCAATGAAATTCTCGTTGAGATATTTTTTTATTTCAACAATTTTATTGTTAATATTTATTAACAAATTTGTTAGGAAATGTCATGGGGAACCAAAAGTGATGATTGGAAGTACAAGAATAGAGGGCATCCACATGGTGACTAGAAATAATCGAAATATTTCTGGATTCATGGGAATACCATATGCGGAACCTCCGATTGGATTATTGAGGTTTGTCTATAATTTGGATTTTTTTTTTTTTGCTTATTAAATTATATTTGTAAATTATTTTGCTTATTGAAGAAAGTTGTTAGGCTCTAATGGTCTCTCGATTATGTTTATAAATATAAATTTGAGTCTCAAATAAATATTTTTGAAAACTATTATAAAAAATAGAAAAAAAGAAAAATTGAAAGAAATTGTAGAGAAAAGTTTAAGAAATGGTTGCCACAAGTTTATTTCTTTGCCTAATTAGATTTAGTAATCCGATTTTAAAGGACTTATCAGGAAGCTATTTATCAGCAAATAAGGAAGGAAGTGCTTGTACTCAAATGACAAGACATGGTGAAAAGAAAGTAATTGGAAATGAAGATTGTCTATTTTTGAATGTCTACACACCATTGGTAAATAATTTTATTTATTTTTCAATATATATACATCATTGCTAAATAATTTACAAATACTCGTAACAAATATGGAGATGCGACTCTCCACCTGCGAACGCCAAGGTCACCGTTAGATGGCACTTCAGTGCAGATTCCTCGCTACCTGGTGGCAATCCCGGCGTTCTCAATTGGAAAAAATTAAACTACCATGCTACCATATTTCAAAAACTTATTTATAATCAAAAAAAATATTTTTTTTCAACAAAAACTTTTGAACATATTTTATCCCCTAGGAAAAATTAAATACGAATAAAAATAAAATACTTATTCTTTATTTTTGAGATAACTTTTTTCTTCTTTATTGTAGAAATCATTTTCCGGTGGAGAATCATTATTACCTGTTATGATGTTGATTCATGGAAGTGCATTTCTCGTTGGCAGTGGTAGTAATGAGAGTTTAGGTCCCAATTATCTTTTGGACAAGAACATTGTCTATGTGAGTATAAATTATCGTCTGGATATTTTTGGTTTTTTGAGCACTGGAGACAATGTGGCCTTGGGTAATTTTGGTATAAAAGATCAACTAGTTGCCCTTCAATGGATACAAAAATACATTCGACACTTCGGTGGCGATCCAAATCAAGTGACACTCATTGGTTACAGTACAGGAGCTGATTCTGTTAATCATCATATTTTCTCAAATCTCACCAAGGGTATTTAATTATTAAATGAATAATAATTAGAATTTGATTTTAACTAATATTAAAAAATTCCATCAGTCTGAAGAAAATCCACCATCTTTTAATTAATAATTATAATTATAACAAAAGTGAGGCTCTCCCAAGAAAAGTATCTAAAAAGGTTATGTTTATAATTTTTGAAGTAAAAATACAGAAAAAGAATTATTAAAAAAAAAAAATTACTGAAATTCCAGTCTTCATTGGATCAAAAATATTCAATATAATAACCGGTTTCGAGTTTACATAATTAAAAAGGAATTTTTAATCAAGATAAATCTGCCACGAACATAACCTCTGTAACTCCTTTGATTGTTAGGTACATTTTTTAAACACGCGTCACAATTATTGGATTTTTTATTTCTTCATTTATTCTTAATTAATCTTTAAAATATTTCTTCCCAAATTTAATTAAATTTAAAAAAAAAAGTTTCTTTCTTTTCTTTTTCTCCTTGATTTTATAGTAAAAATTAAAAATTCTGACTACTAGATTATTTTCATCGATACATTATGCAAAGTGGATGTTCATTTACTGCCCGCTCGTACAATACAGCTGAGAAAAGTGCAAAAATTGCTAAAAATGCTGCTGAATATTTCAACTGTTCAACTGAGAATTCAAACTTACTAGTCGATTGCTTAAGAGCTATTGATAATAAAATATTAGTTAATAACAGTGATATTTTTCCCAAAATAAGAAATATTTTCCATTCCACATGGTCACCGACAATTGAACCAAAAGTTCCAGGCGCTTACATTACGGAAAATCCTTTTCACATTCTAATGGGAAAAAAATATCGTCATCTTCCGGGAATAAGTGGCATTGTCCCCGACGAAGGTTTAAATTGGATTGCCTGTAAGAATTTAAAATTAAAAAAAATAATTTTTCCTAATTAAAAAAATAATTAATTTTATACTTTCTTTTATAATTTTATAATTTTGTTTTATAATTTTATAATTTTTTAAAAAATTTTATAATTTTTTTTTATAACTTTTTAACTAATTTTATAATTAATAAAAAAATTTAATATGATAATTTTTAATTGCATAATTTGATTTCAGCACTTTATGTGAACGACAAACTTTATAATAAAATAACAGAAAATTTCGAACAATTTTTAACTGATATTTTCATCTATTTTGATGTGACTAGAAACATAACGGAAATTGTATCGGAAGTAAAACAATTTTATTTCAATAATAATGTTTCGAAGGATAAAAATATAGTAGGTTTAAAAGAAGAAATACAACAGCAAATAGAATTAAAAAAAATTCTAGTACCAGGATCCATTTTTTTTTAATTCCTATTCGAGTATTGGAAGTAAAATAAAAAATAATAACGTAAAATAATTAATTGATTGAAGAGTTCTTCTATGCAATAACCACTCGCATATATAATACTCGAAGCACAAAATGTTCGTTATTGCAAACTGTTTTTAAATTAATTAACTTTTTTCAATGTTTTCTAAAATATTGAAATGTTATGTGGCAAAAAAAAATAATTATTATGTTTTTTTTACATCATATTATTTTATAATATTAGGTATACATTTTTTTATTATTATTTTATATTTATACTCTCCAAATTTGAATTCTGAAAAATGTTTAATAATTGAAATTAGTGACTGAATTTTTTGCATTCGAATTAGTAATTAGTTACTAATAAATAGTAACTTCTGCTAATTTATTAGTAAAATTTACTAATTTAAAATAAAAATGTCAGTCACTAATTCAAATTTAAAGAGTATATTTATTTTTATTTATTTATATTTATTATTTATATTTATTTATATTTATTATTTATATTTATTTATATGAAATAAAATTTTTAACAAAATGAATCAATAACAATTAAATTTGTATTTTTTCAGATTCTTAAACAATTGTCCGATTTTACAGGAGATTTATTTAAAATCTATCCCATCATATTTTCATCAAATATTTATGCTAATTGTACAAAGGTACCTCTTTATTTTTATTTATTTAATTATAGAGGATTAATTAGTATGTCAAATAAAGCAACTCGCAATAATTGGAATCTTGGAGTGGCTCATACAGATGAAAATATTTATCTTTATCCACAAAAACCAACAGTTCCAGTGGAAATAAATAAAAATATTTTGAAAAACGATTCATTTATCACTGATCTTATGGTAGATTTATGGACATCTTTCACTATTAACGGGTATAATAAGTTTTTATTTTTAACAATAAATTTTAGTAACAAAAAAGTTGCAAAAAAATTATTTAGAACAATAACAGTAATAATAATAAAATATAATAATAATAATAATAATAATAATAATAATAAAAATAATAATAAGAATAATTAATAAAAATAACAAAAGTAATAATTGATAAAAATAATAATAAAAATAGTGAGTATAATAATAAATTATAATATAATTTTTAGAATACCAACAACGGAGAAATTATGCGAAGGTACAAATTCATGGAAACCTTATCAGCCAAATTCGAATGTTTTGGAAATTGGAAATAATTCAAATACTGAAACAAAAATGGTGCAATCAATTTTAAATGAACGAATGAAATTTTGGGAGCGTATGCAACATTTGTTAATTGATAATTTTCTCTTGTAAATTATATAAATAATTAAAATTTTAATTAATTTATTAAATTAATTAATTAATTAATTTAATTAATTAATTAATTAATTAAATATTTTTCTAATTAATAAATTGTAATTTGTTATAAACAATTGTGAATTTTTCTATAAAATTTTTTTGTCCATTAAAAAACCGAAGTTGAGAAAAAGTCATAAGCGCGGGGAATCGAACACTCACGAACTTATCACCAACGTTCGGATGTCGACAACCTAACCAACCGAGCCATGAATGTTTATTCAAAAACTTATAAAAATAACCTAAAATTTGTTACTTCTTAGGTATATTTTAGGGAGCGCGTCACATTTTAAAAATAATTGACAAAATATTTTTAAAAGTTGCTTAAAAACTAAATGAGAAAATAATAAATAAATAAATTAATAAATAAATAATTATGAAAAAAAATATTTTAAACATTATTTTTCGAAATTTCCTACCTTAAAAAATATTAAAACGAAAATAAAACTAAACTTCATAAAACTGTTTTAATTAAACAAAATATTTTAAAGAGTTGCTTAAAAAATAAATGGATAAATAATAAATAAATAGATAAATAAATAAGTATAATATATTATTTATAAATAAATAATTTAATTAATTAATTAATTAATTGAGCAATTAATAATTATAACAAAAAAATATTTGAAAAATGTTTAAAAACATAAATTTTCACAATTATTTTAAAAAATTCCTACTGTAAAAAATATTGTAAAGAAAAAAATGAAACTAAAATTGGTGAAAATTTCGAAAAAGAAAGAAAAATTCGAATTTTGCCCATGGCTCAAAATAGTTAAGGGGCGTTCCTGATTGTAGACACTAAAACCCATATGTATATGTATTGGTGTGTAAACAGTGTGTGCGACATTCGTTGCATATATGAACCGGCGTGTATTAGTCTTTTACAACGTACCAGTGCCATTCAGTTTCTCATGGAGTTTGCCTGAGTTTGCCGGTGTCTGAATAGGAACGAGGATCAAAAAATATTTTCTCCTCTAAAATAAAATATCTTATTTTTCTCACACTTTAAATTTCACTTCTTATTTTGAGAAAAAAAGAAGAAGAAAAAAATGGCTTTTCTTGGCATAAAATATAAACTTGCACAGAGCGAAAATTTTGAGGAGCTCATGAAGGCATTGGGTATGTTGAATTTTACCTTTTTTACATTTTTTTCCCCTTTTTTTTTGCAACAAAGTTAAAAACGTGCGTGCAGCGCTCTTGTTAAAATCAATATGTACATGGCGCAAATTCCCTTATAGGCAATTTTATGGGCGTGTTTATTAGTTTAGGGGTTTCTTTTTTTTCTTTTTTGCTATTATGTTTGCATATTTTTCTTGTACTTTATACAATGTATTCTTTTTCACCCGATTTGCGTAGATTTAGAAGAAAACTGTTAATTCTCACTGGAGAAAATTTTTTTTTTTTGCTTTTTTTCTGTCTTTAAATTTAAAGAAAAAATTCTTTGAATTACAAATAAAAAATTGCAATTCTTTGGGTATTTTTAACTAAATATTTTTTTAGCCCATATTTTATTAACTCAATTTTTTCCAACTATTTTTTATACTTAATTTTTTCCATATATTTTTTTTACCTAATTTTCTCCATCTATTTTTTTACTTAATTTTCTCCATCTATTTTTTTTACTTAATTTTCTCCATCAATTTCTGTTTACTTAATTTTTTCCATCTATTTTTTTTATAATTTTTCTCATCTATTTCTCTCACTCAATTTTCTCATCTATTTTTTTTACTTAAAATTTGTTTACTAAATTTTTTTATCTCGTATTTTTATCTAATGAATTTGAAAAAAGAGCTATTTTTAAATTGCTAATTATTTTGCTGTGGGGAAATTTTCTTCTTCGAATAAAAATTCTTTTTTTTTCTGGAAAATTCTGGAGAAATGAAATTTTATTCGAAGAAAGAGACTAAATTTATTTTAATTGAAATTTTCATTTAAAATATATATATATATATATAATTCCCATAAATTATATTGATGAAAATTATTCTAAGTACATGTTAGGTGTTTCTTGCTGCTACAAAATCGCAAATAAGAAACCGGTTTTTCTACCTAGCATCTTGAGATCAAATTTCAATTCGAAAGCATATATACTTGATATATAAGTTTGCAAATAATCTACTACAATAATTAAAAAACAATCGATTTCTTCATTGTCTAGATTTATTTGTATTAAAAAATGAAACATTCTCTTTGTAATAAAATTTTTGAAAACAAATTCTTTTTATAGATTTTAATTTTTTTCTTTTTATATAGATTTTTAACATTTTCTTTCTTTATTTTCGCATATTTCTTTCGCTTTTTCCTTTTCCTATTTCCACATTTCTTTTTTATTTCCATATTTCTTTTTTTTCATTTTTCTTTTTCCACATTTCTTTTTTATTTCCATATTTCTTTCTTTTTCCTTTTTCCGCTTTTCATTTTCATTTTCTTTTTTTTTATTTTCATTTTTTCCCTTCTTTTTCGTTTTTCCTTTTTTTCTTTTCTTTCCTTTTTTTTCCATTTTTCCTATTTTCCTCCTTTTCTTCTTTCCATCTTTCTTTTTTCTTATCCTTTCTTCTTTCCATTCGATTCTTATTTTTCATTTTTCCTTTTTCTTTTCTTTTCTTTTCTTGGTTTCCATTTTCCTTTTTCTTTCCCTTTCTTTTAATTCGCATGTTTCATTTTTTTTCTTTCCATCTATAAATGTGCATTTATATCAATTAGAGCATTTTCCAAGTAAGCGCAAATTGATGGTTACAATTTAAAATCGAATAAAACTGCTTAACTCACCTTCAACATGCAATCTGAAAAATTACGAACAACTAATGTTATGCTTTTACTGCAGTATTTTTATTTTTATAACATAAATCAATAATTTCCATTTATCGAACAAAAATATAATAATGTAATTAAAAAATAAATAAATGAACTTTAAATTCGAAAAATTATAATAATTCTATTTATAAAGTAAAATTAAGTTATAATAAACATTTAAAATAGAATAGAAAAAAAATTACTTAATATTTAACTATTTGCTCATAATTTTTTTCTAAAACAAAATTATATAGTACTAATTAGTACTAACTAATATTAATAATAAGCAGTGACTAATAATACTATTTAGAGTAATAGTTAAAATTACAAATTAGTAATGACTATTCAAGAATATATTTTATTTTATTATTAAATCTTTTTTGTTATTAAAAAAAACAAAATATTAAGTATATAATTAAAAGAAACAGTAATATTATTATTACTGATTTTTTTTAATAATTATATACTTAGTGCTTATTACTATAAGCACTAAATATTACTAATTAGTAATAACTAATAGTGTTAATTAGCACTAAATAGTAGTACTAATTACTAAGAAAATAATAGCGTTAATTAGCACTAAATAATACTACAAATTATTAATAATACTAATATTAAGACTAATAAAAATTTAAAGACTATAATAATTTATAATTTTTTTTTTGAAATAGTGACTATTAGTGGTATTAGTTAGTACTAATTAGTACAATTAATTAATACCACTAATAGTAATTATTTAAAAAAAATAATTTATAAATATTTTATAGTTAGAATCACAAAATTTAAATAAATAGAGAAAGGTAAAGAAAAATCAACAATTAAAAAAATTATAATTAATTAATTATTTATTTTTTTCGCTTTCCAGTAGAGTTAGTCCCCATTTTTTCATAATTTTAATTAATTTTTTAATTCGTATTTAAAAAAAAATTATTGTTAAAAAAAGAAATTTCTTTCGTAAATAATTTTTTTTTTTTTTTTTTTTGGGCGAAAAATAAATTTTTCATCATCTTGACCTGAGACACATTCCTTTAGGAGAATTCTAATAATAAATTTTTCCTGATGAAGATGGAATTATTTAATGATTTACAATTGATTGTAATTATATGCCAGTGTGTGTACAAGTGCGTGCGAAATGAAGAGCTTTTATCAAGATAACGAGGTTTTCCGTTTCTCTGTCTCATCCTGTCTTGAATTGTGCCAGTTGGAGAACATAGTATATATAGTATTAAATTTAAAGATCATTATTAATTAACTTAAATGACGTTTAGAATTATAATTACAAATAATCGAATCAATTTTAATTTTAATTTTCTTTTTTTTATATAATATATATGTATATAATTCGCTGCATATATACGAGTACGATGACCCAACGATACATGTTGCGGGCTTCCATACACCAGACAGACCAATTGTAGACCAATTTAGTATTTGAATTCATCTTCGGTCGAGGTTAATAAATCACAATCGAGTCGAACCCTCCCTCGACATTTTTACCTTTCATTGAATGTCTTTTCGAAGAACGTCGTGCGTTCACAGCAATTCACAGCGAGAAATGTGTGTGAATCGTAATTTTAGACTTTCGTTCCCTACTTTGAGAAAAATTTATTTTTTACTCCAAAAATACATATTTTTGTTGGAATAAAAAAAATTTTAGCCAACCATAAAAAAATGTTTGTAAGTTTGTATTAAATTTTATAATTGAATTCAACTTTTATTGAATCAAATTTATTATATGTATTGAAAATTTTTCAGACTAGAATTTAAAAATAAAAATTAAAAAAAGTAATACCTTCTCATATGATATAAGAATAATGTAAAAAATTAAAAATAACTTTTTCTTTTCTCCATTTGAGGAAAAAGAATAATTAAATAATTTTAACTTTGTCTATTACAATTTTTTAATAATAATAAATTTTAATTTTATGCACTTTAAAACTATGAACGTAGAGTTAAAATTCTATAAATAGTTTTTTTTTCGTTTTTAAAAAAGCGAATTTCGATAGAATTGAACATAAAGAAAAAATCCATAAATGCATTGTTGACCGCAATTCTAATTGAAGGGAAATGCAAGTCTGCTCTGATGCAATATGCATTCTTGTTATTTGCATTCCTACTTATATTCATGCGATTTCTATAAATTGACCGCGTCAACATTCAATTGGAAAATTACATACTCATCCATATCTCTTAAATTGAAACTTTGCTAAGTTTGTATACAGAAACATTTTTTTTTCCCCTACTGCAAATCAATATAATACACTATTCAGTACATTATTACTATTTTTTTTAAGTATTAGTACAATATTTTTTATAGAAATAACAATATTTTTATTCGGTAATTTTTCTTATTTTTTACTGAGAAAATAAATTTTATATAAATAAAATAATATTTTTATTTTTATTCGGTAATTTTCTTCATTTTTTACTGGAAAAATAAATTTTATATTTAAATAAAATAATAAATATGTAATAGAATAATTTTTTTAGCAGTACTTTTATTCTTACTTACAAGCAATATTTTTTGTTTATTCAGAGTGTATAATTTTATTTATTTTTAAAAAATATTTTTAAAAAAACATCTTTACTTTTATTTATTTTTTACTGAAAAATTACATTGCGATGAAAAAAAAAATACAGTGCGATGAAACAAATATTAAAAAAGAAGAGAGAAAAAAGTGATAAAACTCAAAAAAATGGAGTTAAATTTTAATGGATCGTAAAACTTTGTGTTTATAGTGACAAAGGATCTCACCGAGACAGTTCATCTTGTGTAAAATCAATTACAATTTCCGGTTCGAGAATTAGAAACTTACATTGAAGGGCAATCAAGTAATTGCAAAAGGTCACAAAATCTTTTTCAACCAGTATAATAAACGGTTAGGATCCATTCACATATAGAGTGGATGCTGCAATTTACTATATAGAGGCGTCAATGTATAATTTTAATAAAAAAATAATGTTTTACATTCATAATGCTTGCGAAAGTAAAAAATAAATTTTTCAAACTAAAACAAAGATAATAAAACAAAAAAAACTTATTTATTCATTTTATTTACTATTATATATTCAGGTTTTATTTTTTTCCGAAACTTTTAATTTTTAATTTTTAATTTTAGTGTCAATTATATTTTATTTTCAATAATAATAATTAAATAAAAGATTTTGAAATATTATTTGGTCTAATGGCGTCAGCCATTAGGCCAATAATATTTCAAAATCTTTTATTTCATTATTATTATTATTATTATTTTTCCTGAGTTCAGGAAGCGTTAAAAAAACTCAAAAACTCCTTTTGGAATTTTAATTTTAACTTTACAATATATATTAAAATAAAATGAATAAAAGAAAAAATTCATTATTTGGTGATAAAAAATGTCTCTCTCTCTCGTAACATCCCCTCGATTTATAAATTGAAGGGTCAAATTTTATTTGAACTCAGCTATACAAGTTGCAGAGAACTTTTTTTTTATCAATTATTATTCGCTTCTTACTTCTTATATTTTCATATCAAAAATTATTCTGCAAAAAAAAAAAAATGGATGCTGAGAGAATAATTTGCAAATTTTATTTTATATATGATATGCACCTTCACGCAATAAATTCTAAAATTAAATTTCACGTTTTACTTAAATTACTAAAAATAATTTACTCTATGCAATATTTTATCATATTTTGAGATAAGGCTAATCTCGCATGAAAATGATGAATCACATGCGTACCTTGAGAACATAAAACTTGTGTATATGCTATAAGCGCAAAATTTCTGTACTTTATCGTCACTTGCATTTTACAAAAAAGAAAAAGAAAAAAAGTTATAAGAGAAATTAATTTCTTAAATTCCTAAAATTTAAATTGTTTTTCTAAAATAATTTACACTCATCTCGATAAATTTAAATTAATAAAAATGTCTACTAATTGAAATTATTAGTAGTTTTTTGAAAATATTTTTTAAATCATTAAACTTTTTTGCTTTCGAATTAGTAAATTTTGCTAATAAATTAGTAGAAATTACTATTTATTAGTAAAATTTACTGATTCAAAAGTAATTACTAATTCAAATTAGTAAACATTTTTACTAATTCAGATTTAAAGAGCACATTAAAATTTCAAAAATGACAAGTTTAAAAAAATTAACATTTATTTTATGTTTTATTTTATTATATAATAATAATAATAATAATAATAATAATAATTATTATTATTATTATTATTATTATTAATTCAAAATTTTTGGAAGCCACAATTTTAAAAATAAAAGATATTTGACCATCAGGTAAAAGAAATGAAAAAAAAAATTATTACTATTATTAATTATCAAGCAATAAATTAAAATAATTACAAAATTAAAAAACTTAATTAAAATTCATTCATATATCCTCAATTTAAAAAAAAACATGTTTGTTTTTATAAGTTTAGATAATATTTGCATCAGAGGATGTGCGGTTAATTAGACGAAAAAAAAACAATAAAAAAAATAACACAATAAACGAAAAAAAAATATTATCAGACTGTGCGGTTCTTTTTTTTTTAGTGATAATTGCTATAACACTGCAATCGCGTCACTGCACTGATTAATAAAAAAAAAAAATTTCTCAATAATATATTCTTTGAATATGTAGGGTCAAACTTCAATATTTTCATATTTACTCTTTTTCTTTTGCTTCACTTCACTTATTACCTCTTATCGCAAAATTTTACTCCAACTCTTATTATTTAAAAGAAAAAAAAAAAAAAAACAGATTCACCACACTGATAAGAAATTCAATAAATGTATTGCTTTTCTCACGATAGCCTTTAGTATCCATTTAATAGTTCTTCAGTTCATAAAATTTTCAGTTCAGTATAAAAGAAAAATAAATTTTCAGAAAAATTGCGCATAGTTGTAAAAAAAAAAATAATAAACAATACTAAATAATAATAATAATAATAATAATAATAATAATAATAATAATAATAATAATAATAATAATAATAATAATAATAATAATAAACAATAATAGTAATAATAATAATAAAAGTAATAATAATAATAAACAATAATAGTAATAATAATAATAATAAACAATAAAAGTAATAATAATATATTAATAAATAATACAAAACATAATTATAAATTATAATAATAAAAATAATAGAAAACTAAAAAATAATACAAAATATATAAAAATGTCATTCTTAAACAAAAAATACAAATTGCAATCGAGCGATAAATTTGACGAATACATGAGAGCAATCGGTAAGGGAATTAACAAAATATTTCCAGTAACTCTAATTTCATTTTCTAGAAAGAAAAGAAGTGCTTATGTTTTTACTTTCAAAAAATAATTCAAATAAAATATTATTTCAAATAAAAATAATATTTCCAGTAACTCTAATTTTATTTTCTATTTAAAGAAAAGAAGTGCTTGTGTTTTTTACTTTTAAAAAATAATTCAAATATAATATTTAAAAATTAAAAAAATTAATAAATTTTCTGTAAAAAATAGTGAGTAAATGAGAAAATAAAAATAAAGAAGAAAATATTGTTTTAGACGCACAATTAAGGAAGCGAAGAAAAAGAAAATTAACAGAAAAGATAAACAGAATAATAATTAATTTATTAAAAGATGTTAAAGATATTAAAAATATTAAAGAAAACAGTAAAGAAAAATAAGAAAAAATTTTTAGAAAAATGGAAAATTATTTGTATAATCTTTTTTTTTAGGTGTTGGACTCGTGACTCGAAAAATGGGGGCGGCTGTTAGTCCAATTGTTGAAGTCACTCTTGATGGTGACGAATATACAATGAATACAACGAGCACTTTTAAAAATTCGGTAATCAAATTTAAGCCGGGTGTTGAATTTACTGAGGAAACACCTGACGGAAGGGAGGTGAAGACCACTATTACCGTGGATGGTGATAAAATGACTCAAATTCAAAAAGGCGAAAAGGATACAATTATCGAACGAGAATTCACACCAACTGAAATGAAAGCCGTATGTAAATTTATTAAAAATCACTTATATAGTTTTTATATATTTTATATATTTTTTATTATTTTATTTTTTTGTATTTTATTATTTACCTTTTATTTTTTGTACTTTGTATTTTACATTTTTTATATTCATTATATTCTATAACATTTTCGCCGCAGAAGAAGGAAATTTTATTTTTATAATTTTTAGAAATGAAGAATATAATACTCGCAAAATAGAATTTAATTTTAAAAATTTAATTAGAAAATTATCGACAAATAAATTATCACTAATTTTTTAATAGAATAAATAGTAAATAATTATTTCACACACGCATATTTCCTGTGTCACTAATTATCCATTAATTAATCGTTATAAATTTAAAAAAAAAGATAAATTCTTATAAATTTTAAACGTATAAAAATTTTATTAAGGTTTAAAAATAAATTATATTAATTTTAGGTATTAAAATTGAAAATAAAAAATTTTATTAAAAATTTTAATTTAAATGCAAATAACGATGAAGTATAGAAAAAGTTTACAATACAAAGTATAAATAAGTGAATGTAATTTTTTTATTCTACTGGGGGAAATAATTAATCGATCAATTAAGAACTAGGATGTGTTCATTAATATCGGTAATTTCAAAGGAATTAACAATTAAAAACTTAATTAGCACATTTTGTTCTCGTGACTAAAATAATTTAGAATCATTTATAGTGTAGTTCCTAATGTGCGAGTTAAAATAGACACGTAATTTTCTATATCTTGTGTTAATTTTTCTTCTTTTTTTTCACTTTTTATTTAATAATAATATATTCATCTATTTAAACAGACTCACATATTCTTATCAGCATTGCCTTGGGTCTGTAAAAAAGCGTCGAAAAAAAAGAATTAACTATTTTTACTTTATTCTTTAATTTTAAAATTACATCTTACTAATGGTCACAAATATTGTAAAAATGGTCGAATTTAAAAAATTTAAAAACAAATGCTGTGTACGTATAAAAAAAGAATTTTTGAACTAAATAAAATTTTTTTTTAATTTTATTTTTTCAGATAATGAAGGTGGATGATATTGTCTGCACGAGAGTTTACAAGGCACAAAATTAATTATCTTACCTGCGCGAGGAATAATATAATCAACTTTCAATCTTTATATTATTATATTATAAATATAATAAATGATCTGCACGAATTTTTAAGAATGTAAATTACATTCACTATAATTATTATAATTGCGACAAAAAAAAGAAACATAAAATGAAAGTATAAAGCAAAACAAAAAGAGGAAGTAATATTATCTTCTTTTTATAAACAAAAAAAAAATCAATGCAATAATTTCTTCGAAAATGAAAATTTTTTGTTCTACCTACATTCCTCTATATTATGTTTTTATAAGTTTTCTCTCGTCAAAAATTAGTCGAGACTAATTGTCATGCATTTTTCACGAATAAAGCTTTTTTTTATTTAAAACAAAAGGTGTTAAATTTTTATCCTTTGGTCGTTATAATAATTTTTTAGTGTAATTTAAAAGAGTTAATTAAATAAATAAAATCCTTCTGTAGTTTCTTAAAAAAAATGTTTACCATTCTTTTTTTTAATTTTTACAATTATTTTCTAAACTTTTTTTACTATTTTATAAATTATTTATATAAATTTATACAAATAATGAAATTTTTACCATTTGTTTAATATTTTTACTTTTTTTTTCTAAATCCACAAAAGTTCTTTGCATTTTTAAAAAAATGTTGGTAAAAAAAATTAGTTTAAATTAATATTAATTTAAATTAATTATTTTATTTAATTATTAAATAATTATTGAACAACAATACGTGTCAACAACAAAAGTATAATTTATTTATTTTATTTATTTATTCAGTATATACGGGCTTAGGAAAATTAAAAAAATGCCCTTCAATACAAATAGTTCTTAAAATAAAATAAAATAAAATAAAATAAAATAATAAAAATATTATAGTAAATAAAATAAAAATATAGTAATAAAAATAATAGGATATATAATATATAACTATATATTTTTTTTATACGTATATATATGTTAGTACAAAATTCGTAAAATTGGCGGGAAGCATCGAAAGACTGACAGAGACGTCTAATGTGACTTTCGCGTACCAGAGAAATGAATATTTCTAGCAGACGACAGATAAAGTTTTACCAGGAAAGTGTCTCTAGTTCATTTTGGAATGTAAACTATTTATAAATGTAACCCAAGTAAAAATAGTAACTTGCAATGACCCTTAATAAATCAGAAACGAAAAATTATAATGAAAAATTTTTTTTTATTCTAAATTCTTTATAAATTGTGCTCAAATAATTGTGTTACATGCCGGTTATTATTTTTATTTTCGTTCACACCCTGCATATATTTCATTATGGTAAGTATATATACATTATTTTCTATATTTATTTTTCAATATATATACAATTTTATAACTGCGAAAATATCACATAAAACAATGATGATATTATAACACAACAACATTACTCTCTAAATTATGAATATTTAGTAAACATTCACGAAACATTAATTCACAACACAGTAATAAGAATTTTTATATTTTTCACTAATTTTTTTCGTCGTTTTTCACCTAAAACTTGAGTGGTATAATGAATTTTAAATATGGAACTGTTAACGAAATATATTTTTTATAACTTATTTTGTTATATTTTAGGAAAAATTAAATTTATTCTTACTATAATGTGAATTAGTGTCTGAATTTTTACTATTTATAAGATTTAGAGTGTTAAACTACAAATTACAATAATAGGAGCAATGAAACTACAATAACTACTGAATTACAATAAACACTGAAGCAACATTAAACAAAAAGAATGGCGATGACAATAATAAACAATAGACAACAGTAAACAATTATAATAAAACAAGAGAAAATGGGCTATAATTATTATGGAGAAAGTACAACTGACATTAATTGAGAATATTTCCTTTACAACAATTGTGGACAATACAAATCTGGCAATAATAATAAAATAACAACATAATATAATAACAATTCAATAACAATGCAAAATTTATCAAAGAATATGTTTGCGAAGAAATGTCCCCAAAGTTCTGAACGTTCAAATAAATGAAATTTATTTATTTCTTCTTCAAATTTTATTGTAAATTGTTGTGTCAAATATTAAAAAACAATAAATTATAAAGATCCCAAATGTTTAATTTTGTTATAAAAAGCAAAAAATTTCGTTTATTTGAATGATCAGAAGTTATGCGGATCATTGCGAAGAAAAAATTTTTAAATTAGTTTAGTTAGTTAGTATTTTTTGTAAATGAAAATACAAGTGGAAATTTTGTTAACATATATAAATTTAGCGGTAGAAAATTTGTAATTTTTATAGTTTTTGTAAATAATACCGAAATGAATATTGTTATCCTCCATAATGCACATAAAATTATATGAATTAAGTAATTTATATTTGACGCAAATAACTATTTATTGAATACGAATAAAATACTTGGATAAAATAAAATACTTAGATCTAGTAAATTTTTACTTAGTTCAAATATATAATGGATAAAAGACACATATTGTAAACCATTTAATTGAATCAAATAATTTTTATTTCATTTGAATAAATTTTTTTTAATGTAAAATTATAAAATAATAGAAACTTTTTTTATTGTATAATTATAAATAATAAAAATTTTATACAGTAATTTAATTCTTAATGTTTAATAAATAGTTCACTGAGATAAAAATATGTTTGAGTCAAATATTTCATGTTATAGTCAACCAAAAATTATGTTTGAATTCTACTTATAATAATTTTGATTCAACACCTAATAAGTTTGATTCAATAAAAATTATATTTAATTCAATTATAAAATATATTTAATTAAAACATATTTTTTTGGTTGGCTGCATATTTTTGGACTTAAAAAAAAATTAATATATATCATTAATATAATAATTAATATAAATCATTAATATAATCATTGATATAATCATTAATATAGGCGTTACTAGGAGCACAATTGGTCATTACTCTAGTAATGGTGAGCATTATTCAAAAATTGAGTCCCCACTTTTCATTTGCTAGATGGCTTTTATGTTCTACTGGGTAAGTAAAGTGGTAACTTCCTCTTCATTACTATAAACGAACTAGATATATTAATAATTTTATTATAACTAATGATTTCTTTTATATAAAGAAAAATGGAAAATTATATCTCCACAGTTCCATTGACTATGAAATATAATTTCTTCTCAACACATGTTCCTAAAGTTCTAAACGTTGAAATGAACGCAAATTTTTTTTTCAAATACAAATTTTATTACAATAACTTTTGCGTAAGGCGTCAAATAAATAAGTTAATTATATTGAGAAGCCAATTTTTTTTTAAATGAAAGACGGTAAATTTTATTTTTAAGTCATTTGGCCAAACTAAATTTTACCATCTTTTATGTAAAATAAAAAAATTTCTTAATTTTAAATTTGTTTTTGATTTCGTTTGCAATCAATACTTTATTAATTATTTTTATTATTCTTATTTTATTATTTTATTTTTATTATTATTTTTTATTATTTTTATTCTTTCGAAATAAAAGAATTTAAAAATTTGCAGGTTGACTCGCTTTTTATATCCCACCGATCAGGAATTAAGAAGCATTGCTGGCATACAAAAGGAGAAACCAAAAAAAGGAAAACATCAGGAAAATGATAAAGTTGCGGACGTCTTTCAAATTCCACGAAATTTAGATATCACACTTGAGAATGCTAAAGTTTCAACACTCGATGTTGTGCATTTAAAATTCTATTCGGACTATATGTGGCTCTTGGATTTTTCCATGTACACTGGACTTGTTTATACATTAACTGAGGTAAAATTTTGCAAAAGATAATTTTTTTAATGGCATTTTTTTTACTATTTTTTTTCTCTCTGTTTTAATAATTTTTCTACTCAACATAATAATTACTGCTTGGTAGAAAAGTTATTAAAGGCGAGAAAAAAAACAATTTACTAATGAGTTGACAAATAATTAAAATTGTTTCTTTTTTCTAGATTTACAATAGTTGGTATCCAATTAAAGATGAAATTAATCTCAGTATACTTTGGTGTACTCTTGTTGTGGGTTTTGCATTGTATCCTTTTACTTACAAATCTACTACTACTACTACTAATTATTTATTTATTTAATATTCAAATTGTAAATAAAAGAAAATATTAATTAAAAATTAATTTTTAAATAAATTAAATGTTAAAATAACTTTATTCTATTGTGACTATTTTCTCTTGGAGAAACAATATATTTTTTTCCTGACCTATTGTGTAGTAAGGTTTTACTTAACCTTTGGGTTCAATATTTCAAAGGTGAAGAAAGTATTGGCGAAAGATCAACTTGCATTGTCACTGGATTTGCATATCTTCTTATAGCAATGATGATTCTTATAATTGACGAAAATACCCTTGAAATTGGTTTGGAGAATGCTTACACGAGTTTCAATCACAGTGCATCGATATTTTTAGAGAAACAGGGTCTCAGTTCAACGTAAGAAAAATAGTTTTATTTTCATAATTACCTATTTCTTCTTCTCTAGATTGAAGAAATAGAAATTAATTGTTATTTTCTTTACAGTGGTCCAGCGTCAAAAATTATTGTTAAATTTTTCCTGGCAGTTTCGTGTGGATTTCTAGGTTCGCTTTTCACTTTTCCTGGTTTGAGAGTATCTAAAATGCATTGGGATGCTTTAAGGTATATATATCTTATTTATACTTTGAATAGATCTTCATTTTTGGTACAATTTAAATAATTATTGAACTGCAGGTCTTTTGCCCTGCAGAAAAAATTGTTTACAAAATAGAAAGTTGGTTTTTTGATTTTCCTTTTTATTAATAACAAAAAACTGATTGTCGTACAAAAAAAAAAATAATTAAAGAAAAACAATTGTTTAAAGAATAAGAAAAAAATTATTATAGAACAAAAAACTATTGAAGAACAAAAAAAAATCTATTAAAAGAACAAGAAAATGATTATAGAACAAAAAACTATTTTCGAGAACAAAAATACTATTGTCGAAAAAAAATTCTTATTACAGAACCAAAAAAAAAATTAAAAGTCGGTTTGAACAAAAACAACTGATTTTAAAACGAAAAACTAGTTAAAGAACAAAAAAAATTGTTTACAGTACAAAAAACTTATTATAAAACACAAAAACTTGTTGAAGAACAAAAAACTGATTGTAGAACAAAAAACTTTTACCAGAATTGAAAACTGGTTAAAAAACAAAAAATCTGTTTGTGAAACAAAATACTAGTTAAGAAAAAAAAATATTGTAAAATAGAAAAACTAATTATAGAATATGAAAACTAGTTGAAGAAGAATAAAAACTATTAAAGGTACAAAAAGATGATTGTAGACCAGAAAAACTGATTTTAGAACAAAAAAGTAAAAACAATGAAAAACAAGTGAGAACAATATAAAAAAAATTGATTAAAGAATAAAAAAATTATTATACAGTAAAAAACTAGTTGAAGAACGAAAAAAATCATATTGTATAACAAAAAACTGATTTTAACACAAAATACTAGTTTAGAGAACAAAAGAATTGTTTACAGAACAAAAAAAAAATGTTGAAAGAACAAAAAAAAATAATTTTAGAACAAAAAAATAGTTAAAAAAAAATTGTTTACAGAACAAAAAAACTGATTACAGAACATTAAAACTAGTTAAAGAACAAAAAAATCAGATTGTACAACAAAAAAACTGAGTTTAACACAAAAATTATTTAGAAAACAAAAAAAAAACCTTTGCAGAACAAAAAAAAAATGTTGAAGAAACAAAAAAACTGGTTTGAAAACAAAAAAACTAGATAAAGATAAAAAAAATTGCTAAAATTAAAAAAAAAAAATGATTTTAAAACAAAAAAAATAATTAGAGAACAAAAAAACTGTTAAGCAAACAAAATAACCTTTCGAAAAAAACAAAAAACTAATTGTTAAACAATGAAATTTTTAAATTAAAAAAAATTGATTTTAGAACGAGAAACTAGTTAGATAACAAAAAAACTGTTAAAAGAACAAAAAAGTTTATTGTAAAAAAGTTAAAGAACAAAAAAAAATTGTTTAGAGAACAAAAAAGCTGTTAAATGAACAAAAACAACCGATTTTCGAATGCAAAACTACTTAAAGAACAAAAAAGAAAAGAAAAACGTTTAAGAAAAAAAAAAAAAATAGTTAAATAGCAAAAAATGTTTGAAATAATTTTAAAAATTAATAATTTTCTTTTCAGGTACAATAAGGATAGGAAAATTTTAATGCTCTTGGCAAACATGAGTTACGCTTCACCTCTATTATTAGTAAGTTTGTGGTTCAAACCAATAAGTCGTGACTATCTCACAATACGAGTTTTCAGTGGAATGACGGAACCACTGTAAGTTTTCAAAAAAACTATGAAATTTCACTAATTTTTCCTTTCTAATTTAATTAAGTTGTTTAATTATTATTTTTCTTCTTCAATATTTAATTTTAAATATATAAATAATTTGAAATTATAAAATAAATATCTAACGTACATTTTAATAGAAAATGGAAATTAAAAAATTCTACTATTTCTCCTTCTAGAATGACTCCAGCAGCTTTTGAGAGCGCGAGGCTGATAGCAATAATATTTGTAGTTTTACTAAAATTGGCACTGATGCCATTGTACCTGCAATCTTATCTTAATCTCGCGAATCAAAGACTAGAAATACAGAAAAAAGAGGCTGGTAGAATATCAAATATAGAATTACAAAAAAAGGTTTGTTTATATTAAAATTTCATTTTTATTCTCTCTTTTTGTTAATTAATAATTTAATATGCAATATTAAGGGGAAATAAGTTAAGAGTAGTTTAATTTAAGAATTCTTAATATACATACTTCTAAATTGAATTAAAATTTAATAAATTATAGTTTGACATTAATATTTAATTTTGTTGATTTATAGAAAATAAAATTTTATTTCTCATTTAGTTTATTAATTTATTTAAATGAAATAAAAATAGTAAATTTAGAAATTTTTTTTACTGAGTGCATATACAAATATTATTTATTTTATTATTTAATACTTATATTAACTTAATATTTGTTAATTAAGTAATTTAATAAATAAATAAATTTTAAGTGTATTGTACAAGTAAATTAATTAAGGAAATATTGAATATAATTCATTATTATTTATTATTTTAATATTATTTATTAATATGATATTTATTATTATTATTATTTATTTATTTATTTATTTTAAAGAAAACTTAATATTGAAATAAAAAATAATATTTAAAATTAATTAATTAATTAATTAAATATTTTATCATTATAGATAGCAGCGGTATTTTATTACCTTTGCGTGGTCGCAATACAGTATATTGCACCTTTGATGATGTGTCTCTTTTTTACTCTAATGTACAAAACACTCGGTGGTTACACGTGGGAAGGTCTTTATAAAGGTGTTAATTTGGATGAGTGTCCAATCGATGAATCGCCAATGATTCCATCGACTATAACCTCAGACGATTCTGAGAAAACTGTAGCTGAAAGTGCTCAAGAACTTCAACTTGCCTTCAGCTCGTTGAAGCAAGTAAGTCTCAATTCTTTTTTCTACATTTTTATTCTACTTTCTAGATTCGTTTTTTCGTTTGTAAATTTTATTCACTTTTTTTTGTTAATTATTATTTTATTTTCTTTTAATTTATTTTTTATTTTCTACTTTTAGTCTAATTTTTACATTCAATTTTTCTTGTGAAAGTTAATTTGGAAACAAACAGTATTTGACAAAAATTAAGAGGTCCTTGAAAAAATACCGAAATTGAAATTTAATTAATAAATTTTTTTTGTTTATTATTTTTTTGTTTATTGTCTTGAATTTATTTTTTGTTTTCTACTTTTATTTTACTTTCTTTTTTTTTTTTTTTGTTTATTATTTTTTTGTTTATTGTCTTGAATTTATTTTTTGTTTTCTACTTTTATTTTACTTTCTACAATTCTTCATTTCGTTTGTAAGTTTTATTTCTCTTTTCTTTTTTTTCGATTATTTTCATTCAATTTATTTTTTATTTTCTACATTATTTATTCTTTTTTAAATTCTTTTTATATTTTTAAGTTCTATTTCTTCTTTTGTTTATTTTCCTTAATTTATTTTTTATTTTTTACTTTTATTCTACTTTCTAAGTTCTTCTCGTTTTGAAAGTTTTAATTTTTTTCATTTATTATTTTTTTCTTCAATTTATTTTCGTTTTTCTACCTTTATTCTTCTTTTTACATTATTTTTTCGTTTGTAACTTTTATTTATTTTCTTTCCGATTATTTTTATTAAATTTATTTATTTTTCCATTTATTTATTTTCAATCTATTTATTGTTCGAATTATATGTATTCAATTTATTTATTTTTTCATTTACTTTTTTTCAATTTATTATTTTTTTTATAAATTTTTTTTAATTAAATTTTTATTCAATAAATTTTTATTGAATAAATTTCAACTCACTTTTTTTTGCAGATTTTCACCGTGGATGTATTCAGAGGGGTCATGGGCTTTGCAACATGGTGGAGTTGCTTCGCTCTTTTTGCGACCACATCCATGGGAATGGTTTATCAGTCCTATTTTTCTAATATTTGAATAAAAAATATTCAGTTTACTTCCATCCAGTTTGTTGATATATTGCTTAATTTTAAGAATTTAATGAAAAGAAAAGGAGGAAAAAAAGACAATTTTCATTTTCATTATATTTATTTTCTCTCTAAATTTTCTTATTTTATAAAAATGACTGCGAGACAATTTTGTTTTCGCGTATTTCGAATAAATCGAAAATGCTAAAATAAAAGAATAATTCTTTTTTTCATGTCATACACGCACACATCGCAGAAGAAATAATTTTTCTTTCAAGAATTTTTGAAATTTTAATTAAAAAATCTTTTCTTTTTTCAAATTAATAATCTTTTCTTTCTGTAAAAAGAAAAGTGCAAAAATATTTTCTCAAGCAGAAGAAAATTGTCTGTAAAACAATTGATCTAGGGAGAAAATCATTGAAAAATGTATTGTGCAAAAAAATACTGTACTGTAAAAACAAAAAAGAAAAAAACCGTAATTTTGAAAATTTGTAAATTAATATTTTGATGAAAAAAAAATCATTTGTATTTACAAACATTACAAAATTCTTATTTAACTAAAATAGATATATGATTTTCGTGCTATTTTCTACAATGCGGACTTGTGTGATGTTTTTTGAATTTTGCATTTTTAGAAAATGAAATAAAAAACAAGGAAATTTGAAAACATTTTTTTTTCATTATTTTGTCTTTATTCTTTTCCTATTAAAACAATAAATTCAAGAATTTTATAATAAAGTAACAAAAATAAAAAATTAACTAAAAAATTTTTAAATAAACCAGAAAATTTTTTTTTTAAATTTAGTTCTACAAAATATTAAAATAAAACCGAAAAAAATTTTTTTTTTAAATTTAGTACTACAATATAAATTTTTGAATAATTGTTTCCATCTCATTTTTTTCATTCTCATATTGATTTGATTTATGATATAAATAAGGAGTTAAAAAAAATTCCACAAAAAGAATTTTCGAAAATTTCTTTTCTTTCTTCCTCTTTCTATTCTCATTGCCAGAAAAAATTGATTTTCTTTAACTAAAAGTAAAAAAAAGCTCTTCACGAAAGATTAAGAAGGTCAAGAGATTATTTACATTTCAATGAGTTCAAAGTAGCGTTAAAAATTTTTTTTTAAATAAAAATTTCAAATATTTTTTATTTTTTTAATTTAAATTTTTTTTATTTATTTATTTTTTTTTAATAAAGAAAAATATGAGCTTTGTGATAAAAATAAGAAAGCTCGCGAATAATTATGTGGGTGTGAAAACATATTTTAGTGAGGGAAGAGGAGGGGGGAAAGACAAGGGAGGAAAAAACGTGTGATGTTTTAAAAAGAGAGGTTAAATTTCTAAAAATAGATAAATTTACGCAATTTCATTTCAATTCACACACAATGTTCTTTCGATTCGCGCCGCGCCTCATTTCCATTGGATTCCGTCTATTCATTGGTTAGCGTGTGTCTCACTTTTGCTACAATTGGTTTAGTCGAGAAGATTCTCGAATATTGTGCACAGTAGTATTATAAAAGCTCTCACAGTGACAAGAGGTCGTCAGAATTTTGTGAGACATCGAAGACGATTATTAGAAATAAAAAAGTGATTTTAGCTGGAAAAAAAGAAGAAAACGTCCATTTTACTGTGCATTTGTTTATATTTATAAATATATTTTTTGTAAACAGGAAGTGATTTACTGAAGGTGAGTAGTGAATAATATTATTTATCCACCAAAAAAAAAGAGAAATTTTTCAATATTTTCGCGGGTTGATAATTTTAAACGTTTTAAACATTTTAAACCATTTTAATGAGTATAATTTAAAGAAAATGGGGAAAAAAACGATAATAAGGAGTAGAAATTTTCTTTTGAAATAACGTGATAACGTTTCTTGTCGTTTTATGCAATGAACGTAGATTGCGAAGGTCGTAACACAGTTTACTGGACTGTATATATAGTGCGAGCACTTGGTTATATTTTATTCACGTTACAAGGCGTTTTATCAATTTCTTTTGCAAAAATTTTAATTTTGCGATAAAGCAATCTTGATTTTAAATTTTTTTGATTTTCTTTCTTTAATTTTTTTCTGTTATTTCCTTTCTTATTTTTTTTTGCTTTTTTGTTGAATTTTTTTATGTTCTTTTTTAATTTTTTTTTATTTCATTTCTTAGATTTCCATTTTTGATTTGATTTTTGATTTTCTCTTTTTTTGATTTTCGTTTTTGATTTTAATTTCTAATTTTTTATGCTCTTTTATAATTTTTTTTATTTCCTTTCTTACATTTTCATTTTTAATTTCGTTTTTTGATTTTTTTCTTTTCTTTTTTAATTTTCTTTTTTAATTTCATTTTATAATTTTCTTTTATAATTTTCTTTCATAATATTCTTTCATAATTTTCTTTTATAATTTTCTTTTCTAATTTTCTTTCATAATTTTCTTTTTTGATTTTCTTTTTTGATTTCCTTTTTTAATTTTCGGTTTCGGTTTCCTTATTAATTCCCCTTTTTTAATTCCCTTCTGTTAATTAGAGAAGCAATTTTCTTTTAAACAAAATTTTATAATGAAAAAAATTCATATTTTTGCACAGAATTTTTGAAACACCACTTAAATCAATTTTTCTCGTTTCATTTGTTTATTAAGATATCATTAGTCAACTTTGCAAGAAAAAATATTAATTAAAAAGGAAAAATTCACTTTTAAGAAAAATTAATTGTCCTTAACATTAAACGTCTATAAATAAAGAAGCAGGTAAACAATATTTATAAACAATTTTTGTTAATGCGAAATTTGAAATAAATTGTTTAATTAAAATTATTATTTTCAAAACAAAAAATTTGTGACGTTTATCAAATGTCAAAAGTTCAATAATTTATTTTTATTTTACAAACGAAGTTATAATGTGGAATTAATAGTAGAACTTGGATTATTTAAATAAAAAAATTTGTTATTCCAGAAAATTATTTCTATTTAAAGAAATTATTGATATGAAATAAAGAAAAAAAATTTTAATGTCCAAGTAGTTTAGTAATAAGCAATACAAATTTTTCCGTTTAATGAAAACAATGTTTTTTAATTAATAATTAATTCAATCAAAATTAAAAATTCCTTTTTAAACTTTATCTGAAGAGAAATTAAAATTTTTAATGTTTGCTTTTTCTAAAACCGTTTTTTTATTATATTACATAAAGACCTAAATAATCAAATAAAGACTTAAAAATCAATAAAGGCCTAAATAAGTTTTTAGACCTTAAATTAAAAAATAATTAAAATTTTCAGTTTAATTAAAAAACATTTTTAGTTTAAAAAAAAATTAATTTTAATTAATAAATTATTAATTTTAATTAATTAGTTTAATTAATTTTAATTAATAACTAATTAATTATTAATTATAAATTAATCAATTATTAATATTAATTAATAATTAATTAATGGGTATTATATTAATTAAAGACAATAAATAAATAAATTTAAAATGAAGGTTATAGTAAAAAAAAAATTATTTCCACAGTAAAATAATATACAAAAATGGCAAAGGCGCCAGCAATAGGAATCGATCTGGGAACGACCTACTCTTGTGTAGGTGTTTTTCAACATGGAAAAGTTGAGATCATCGCGAATGATCAGGGCAATAGGACGACTCCAAGTTATGTCGCTTTTACCGACACCGAACGACTCATCGGTGATGCAGCCAAAAATCAAGTTGCTATGAATCCTAGCAACACTATTTTTGGTAAGACGAATTCACTATAATATGATATTTATAGAAAATAATATTCCCCTCTTTTTAATAAAAAAAATCGTCTCCTCTCCTATAAGAGATAAATTATAATCAATTAGTAAATTAATTAATAAATAAATTAATTAATTAATTAACAAATTAATAAGTTGATAGTAATTTAAATTTAATAATAACATAATAAAATTATAAAGTAATTATTACAATAATTTTGGGAAATTTTAGAAAAATTCAAAAGTTATTATATTATTATAACTATAATAAATTACAATAATAGAAAAAACAAAATATAAATAAAAAATAAAAAAAAAAACATTTTACTAATATTCTTTCTGTTAATTGTACGTAAAAAATGAGAATGGGAATTTAATAAAAAAAAATTTCTAGAATTTCAATAAATATTTAAATTTATTTAAACAAATTAAGAATAAAATAAAGTTAACAAATTACTTAAAAAAACTTTCTTTTTAATTAGCAAAAATTAAAGCAAAAATTTTAATTGTTTAGCATGAAGCAGGAGTAAATGAAATAAAGAAAAACACAATGTAATGTAGACGAGTAACTGACTTTTATATTCTCTTCACGCAATCTCGATTGTGGGCGAAAAACCTTTCTGTCGCCTATCGGTCATTTATAGAGTTACTAAGGCGCGAAATTCAAATTAAATGAAAAAGTAAATAATTTTGTTTACCAGTCACGTCAAAATTAAAATTAGTTCTCTTACTAAGTGGACGATAGTTGGCAAAGTAAACAAGTAAAAAACTAATTTTAATTTTGACGTGACTGGAGAAAAGAAATATTACTTGTGAAAAGATATTTTTTATTCTTTCTCTCTCTCTGTCTCTTAATATATTAAAGGAGAGGGACGGAAAGAATGAAAGTCGTCTCTCTCGTATTAAGAGAGAGACGACAGTTCTCGAAATTAGCATCAAACACCCACAGTGCGAAAATTAGCGGAGGCTGATTTATTTTAAGCGCCCGGCTTGCCAGTCTAAACGTGCTATTCCGATTTATTTATAAACCACTATACGTATGCATATTTATTACGTGAATAAAGAATATAAATTTTCTATTTTAGACGCAAAGCGATTGATCGGTCGACGATTCGATGATCCGGCAGTGCAAAGCGACATGAAACATTGGCCATTCAATGTGATGAATGACAATACCCGTCCAAAAATACAAGTCACCTATAGAGATGAACTAAAGACATTCTTCCCCGAGGAGGTATCATCAATGGTACTCGTCAAAATGAAGGAGACAGCCGAAGCATTTTTGGGTAAAAAAATCACCGACGCCGTTATCACTGTGCCGGCATATTTCAACGATTCCCAACGTCAAGCAACAAAGGACGCCGGTTGCATTGCCGGCCTCAATGTCCTGCGAATCATCAATGAACCAACAGCAGCCGCCATTGCCTATGGTCTCGATAAAAAGACAGCTGGCGAAAAGAATGTCCTCATCTTCGATCTCGGCGGTGGGACATTCGACGTTTCAATTTTAACAATTGAAGACGGAATTTTCGAGGTGAAATCAACAGCTGGCGATACACATCTCGGTGGTGAGGACTTCGATAATCGTATGGTGACGCATTTTGCCCTCGAATTCCAGAGGAAGTACAAAAAGGATTTACAGACGAACAAACGTGCTCTGAGAAGATTGCGAACAGCTTGCGAGCGGGCAAAACGAACCCTCAGTTCCTCAACCCAAGCGAGCATTGAAATTGATTCCCTATTCGATGGAATCGATTTTTACACTTCAATCACCAGGGCAAGATTCGAGGAATTGTGCGCCGATCTCTTTAGAAGTACCCTCGAACCAGTGGAGAAGGCTCTGAGGGACGCGAAAATGGACAAAGCCACTGTGGACAGTATCGTCCTTGTCGGCGGTTCGACCAGAATTCCAAAAATTCAAAAACTCCTCCAGGACTTCTTCAATGGCAAAGAGCTGAACAAGTCAATAAATCCCGACGAAGCCGTCGCCTATGGGGCCGCAGTCCAAGCCGCAATTCTCCACGGCGATAAATCCGAGGAGGTTCAGGATCTCCTCCTCCTAGACGTGACACCACTCTCCCTAGGTATCGAAACCGCCGGCGGTGTGATGACCACTCTGATAAAGCGCAACACCACAATTCCAACGAAACAAACCCAAACCTTCACCACCTACTCCGACAATCAACCCGGAGTTCTAATCCAAGTCTACGAAGGCGAACGCGCCATGACAAAGGACAACAACATTCTGGGTAAATTCGAACTAATCGGAATTCCCCCAGCGCCACGTGGTGTGCCCCAAATCGAAGTGACATTCGACATCGACGCCAATGGAATTCTCAATGTTTCGGCAGTGGAGAAATCGACGGGCAAGGAGAACAAGATTACGATCACAAACGACAAGGGACGATTGTCAAAGGACGATATCGAACGAATGGTGAATGAGGCTGAACAGTACAAGCAGGAGGATCAAACGCAAATGGAACGAATAGCCGCGAAAAATTCCCTCGAGTCGTATTGCTTCAATATGAAGGCAACTGTCGAGGACGAGAAGATTAAGGACAAAATTGATGCGGCCGATAAGGAGAAAGTGATGACCAAGTGTAACGAGGTGATTGCATGGTTGGACGCTAATCAGCTGGCTGATAAGGAGGAATTCGGTCATCAGCAGAAGGAACTCGAGGGGATTTGCAATCCAATTGTCACTAAACTCTATCAGGGTGCTGGTGGTGTTCCCGGCGCTGGCGTTCCTCCAGGAGCTGGTGCCACTGGTCCCGCTGGTGGACCAACCATCGAAGAAGTTGATTAAAATCCCTTTTCTTTTCACCATCATCAACAAACTTCGAAAAATCCCTAAATCCTTAATACCCACTTTAAAAGCATAATTCGAACCATGTCCTCTATTTTTAAAAACGAAATTAAAAACACCTATTCTCAAAAATATAATTCGAAACTTGTTTGAACCGCAAACAAATCTAGAATTTCCGAAAGGCCCAAGTCTTACGATTTGACTCCAAATTCAAAATTCAGAATTGAAAATTAATTTTTCTTTGTAAAGACTGATAAGAATGTATTTACTCCAAATGATTTAGTTTCAAAATAAAATTTTTAATTACCGAGAGAATGAAAATTGTATTTACTTTATAATCACTTTAATTGTATTTAACATTTGATATCAGGAAACTTTTAATTTTTATCGACGTTCAAGCAATGAGATTAAAAACAAACAGTAAACATTTATTTTCCTATGGAAAAAATATTTACTGTTTGCTATTAATTTACGAAAATAAGAAAATTGCAAAGAACAAAAGGAACTGTACAAAAATGTTCTCGACAAGTGCGAACGAAAGACAGAGGGAGAAGCGGTTCCCCACTCCGCGCGGTACAACCGGGTCGGAGTGGGGACAATGCGAGTGAGAGAGACACTCCGGTTGTTCTCTCTCACTCCCATTGTCCCCACTCTTACCTTCAGCTTCCTAGTTTCTTGAATTCTAACTAAAAGAACAAAAAGAAAAATTATGTAACCACTTTTTACCTTCTCCTTAAAATTGAGAAGCTTAACTAATTCAAAATTGAAATAAATAGTCATTCATTAAAATTAAAATATAAACTTAAAGTCTAAACTCTAAATTCAGTAAATCGAATTTAGTAATTAGTGTTCAAATTAATCGATTTTACATACGATAAAAACAAATATTACCAAAAGTTGAATAGTTTGTAGAAAACTGTTTCGAGGGCAGTTAGAAACAAAAGTTCAAAAGCAAAAACAAAACTATGTTATAAATACAGTAATATTGCAACAAGTGTGTGCGACGTAAATATCGTAAAATTTCACAAAAATTTTCACATTTTCTCGTTATTGCAATAAGCTTACTGTGGAAACTTGACAAAAATGCTATGAAACAAAATGGTAAACTTATTATACAACGTTACTGTAAATTACTTTGCAAGTATTACTGAAATCTAAATTCCAACAATGCTGAAAATTAAATTGCAATATTATAGAAACTTAATTTGCCAAGTGACAGCAAGTTTCCATGTCAAATTCGCAACCTGAGCACATTAAAATCGTAAAACTTTCATGTCAGCAACCTTGCTGCAAAATTAAATCTCCCATTTGGAAATATTCATTACAAAACTGTTAAGTAAAATTTTAACACAGTTTTTACAAGATTATATTGTTAGAATTAGAAGTAAACTAAATTTCTAATTAATACCAATTAATACACCAAATGAATATAATATACATGAACATCAAAGAAAAAAGTAACTTTACAAAAATTATTCAGCATTAAATAAATTTTACTGCAAATGAAATTTTTTAAACTATATTTATAGAATTTAGTCGAGAGAGAAATAAAAATATTGTTTATGAAATTATTGAATATATATCTATATTATAATAAAAAGTTGAGAGTTATATTATTGATGATAATTAATAACATAGTAAGAAATTAAATTAAATAAATAAATTATATGAACGAGTAAATTCTTAACAGTACCTGGGTGATATTCATGAAAATCGATGACAAAAAAAAATTGTTTATTTTCTTATAGTTTCTAGCCTAAATTTTATAAAATTAAATAAATTAATTATACATAAAAATTACAATTTCAATACCTAAATAAATTACAAATTTTACGTAAATTCAAATGTTGAGAATTTTAATTTCTTTTTTTGAAATAACAAAAATCAAAAATAGGGATAAATTGGTTTTAATACAAGAGAAAATCGAAGTTTGCTTATAATTATTTATATGTAAAAGAAATATTATTATTTAAAAACTATACTGTAATTATATGATAATTATTCTCGTTATATTATAGATAAAAAAATTAATTGTTATATCATACACATCGATGTTTTTCAAGCCGTATATTCAAGTACATTGAGTTTCTTATACAATGTCAAAAAAGCACAAAATAAAAGGCTTTTATTAATTATTGAATATTTTCACACACGACTGATTTATTTCCATTTTTATTTAGCATTTTTTTTTTCATTTCTATTATGTACTTATAGATTTCAATGAAAAGTTAATAAACGTATAATTATAAATTACTTATTAGTTTTACTTTTATTTTTAAAACACGTATCCCTTTTAACTATTATTAATTAATTTTAATATTTATTAATAGTAAATATTATTTTTGATATTTACTATTACTTATTACTTATTAAAAATAATATTCTCTATTATTTAATATTTAGTAAATAATTATTTATTTTTAACATTTAATAAATAATTATTTATTTTTAATATTTAATAAATAAAATAATAATCTTCAACTATTTAGTTAAAATAAAAAATTGCTTCAAAAGCAACAAGTCTTGAGATGTTGGTGAAGACGATCGAGGGAAACGTTTTTGTAATTAAGGTTGTAAAAAATAAACAATCTACAAATTTTCAAACGTTATGGAAAATATTAGAAAAAATAATTTTACAAAATTGATTTTATATAATTTTTTGTTCTCCATTTGATTATTTATAAAAAAATATTTTTTTTGATGCATGATTATCATATTTTTGTATTTTCTACGATTGTTAATTGATTTTATGTTTTTTGTGATTTAATATTCTCATATTACTCTCTAAATCTGAATTAGTAGTTTTCTACAAATGAAATAGTACGGATTCGTTTTCTAATTCTTTTAGTAACAGTTTTGTCTGATTTTTAGTAACTAACTGTTAGTAGAAAACTGTATTTTTCACATTAAAAATTCTCATAACGGAATAATTTATTTTACGAAAAAAATGTTAAAAACTCCTATTTTTCAAACATGACAATTTATGTCAAACAATTTAATTATTTCTTTAGACAACAAATTTCAAAATTTAAAAAAATTCTAATTTCAAGAAATTTGTAGAAGACGATCGAAAAAATAGATTATGTTCAAAGATAAGAAACTTATTGTCTGATTGTAAAAGACAAACAATTGTCAATTTTCAAAAATTATGGAAAACATTAGAAAAATATCTGAAATAAAAGCAATTTTTTTTTATCTTTTAGTATCAAATGACTGATAATTGTAGGTATGTAAGGCCCGCAAAAGTATCAGTAAATATAAATAAACAAGTTTTCCCTCCAACAATGTCAAACGACAAGAAAATAACAAACTTACAACAACTTTTTTTGAAAGACTACAAGAACAGAGTTGAGTCCCCCCACAAACGAAACAGTCAATTTTCCATTAAAGAACAAAAGAATCATGAAGTATTCAAAAAAGCTTTTTGGTCTCGTACTCTTCAGTCGTAATTATTTTGAGTGTGTCAGGAAGGAGCAATTACACTCTTGGATTATTAGGATACCTAAAAGAAGAATCAAGACTCCACCAGTTAATATTTGTAACTTTTATATAATAAAAATAATAAATAATAATAAACTTTTATATAATTATGAAATACTTATTTATTAGTTTTACCTTTAAATTTAAAATAGACATCCTTTTTAATTATTTTAATCTAATTTTACGATTTATTAATGGTAATTATCTTTTTTTAACAGCATGTGACTGTTACAGAAATCAATGTTAATTTTTTCGACCACTTTTCTCTTAAAATATTAAATAAATTAAGCTAGTTTTTTGTGAATAACTCTAAAATATCAGAAAGAAGAGCAGTGATGTGCAAAAGTTTTAATAATTCTAAAATAAATTATAAAAAAATACTTTGAAATGGGAAAAGACGAGAAATTGATTAAAAGTGATTTTGAGAACTGATAATTTTAAAGTTATTTTTTAATAAATAATTTTAAAAATATTAAAACTTTTTCACATCACTGCCCTTCTTTATGATATTTTAGAGTTATTCACAAAAAACTAGCTTAATTTATTTAATATTTTAAGAGAAAAGTGGTCGAAAAAATTAACATTGAATTCTGTAACAATCACATGCTGTTAATTAAATAAATAACGTAATAATTGTACCAACAAGAATCCTATTAATTGAATCGTAAAAGAATTAAATGTGATTTCATTGTGATAATTAATTAATATTATTCATGCTCTTGATCAGATGTATCAATTAATCTTCTAAAAAGTTGATATTAATGAACCTTTTCGAAGCAAAAAAGCTTTGTTATACAGTAAGAAAAATGAAATTTAGAATATTTAGTTGTAAAGGTCAACTTTAATTACACGGTTTCTATATATAAATTTTCTTCTAGTAAAAAAATCGATAACAAGAAATATTAGTTGTACGTTTCCAAGTATACACTTATTTATCAACATTTTAAGTAGTAGATACCTGTTTTGGTCAGACATGAATTTTGTTTCTTTTATAGTAATAAAAAATCAGAATCAGACATTATTAATATTTGTAATTTGTAATTAATTAATTAATATTTGTAATTTTGCCCGTACAAAATATAGATGATCAGACTGTATAATTTTATACTTTTAAGTAGTAAAATCCAGTTACGGAAAGACATTCTTACATTGCAATTTTTAGTATTAAAAGTTGATTCTTAGACGGTTAAAATTTATGTTCTTGTGTAATGATCATTACTATTGTTCAATGCTACAGATAATCCTTGTCTTAAGTAAAATATCCTTATTTTGGCCCAAAACATTAAAAAATGATATTTTAAGTAGTATAGACCAACCGTGGTTGAAAATGTACATTTAGACATTTTTAATTTGTCCATAGTTAAACTAGTTCAGGTACAATAAGACAAACCTAATTTGTTTTTTTCTGCAATATTATATCGTATTACAATGAAATATAAAAAATTATTATTAGCTATGTATATAGTTCAGATAATATTTTTTTAATTACCCTACGTGCAGAATTTAAAAAGAAAACAAACGGTTGCCTTGGTGATTAACAAAACATCTATAATTGCGAAAATGAAAATTTTCCTTCTGCTACACAGGAAAAAAAAAGTCTGACTCCGTTTACACCTTAAATTCAGCCCATGTATTTCACATAAGTCTGTCCTTGTTTAACGGGGCTGACTCCGTTTACACCTTAAATTCAGCCTCAAAAAGAGGCTGAAAGTAAAACTTTTTTTTTAGTGTGTATAATTTTACTTTCAAAAAGATACAATCTACTTGAGAAAGAAAAGAAAGTATATTTAAAGAATTTGCGCAAATCATACTGTATAAAAATAATTTTATTTTATAATAAAGAAGAGAATAAATATATGCATTTCGTTGATTCTATACTGGTAACCATCCCGCTTTTATCCTAAAAGAGAAAAATATGCATTAAAATTAAAAGAATCCACTAAAATAAAAATTACATTTTCATACTGTATAAATAAGAAAGTAAAAATCAAACTTTTAAATTTTAATTTATTTTGATATTATCATATTATCAAGTAAGAATTGTTTATTTATTATTTTCACTTTATGACGTTTTATTATTTTATTCATTGTTATATTTCATAGTGAGAATAAAATATTCTATATACAATGTGTAAATATTAAAGTATATTGAATTATTAAATGACCCTAATTTTAGGCACCTAGTCTAAAATATTCTAAATTTTTTTAAATTTTTCTTCGTGCACAACTTTAAAAACAAACAGTTGCCCTGGTGATGAACTTTTGTTCGTCACCAAGGTAACTTTTGTTTTTTTAACGCAATTTTTATTATCTCTTTTTGCATCAAACGACTAATAATAGTATTAAGGTCCTTGTATACAAGTATTAGGAAACATAAATAAAACCATTATATTCAATAGAGAAAAATACCTATTAATATTAGAAATATCCCCGAAAATGAAGATTGTATTTTTTAGGGTCAATATTAAATGCGCATTTAAATTGAATTAAAAAAATTTAATTTATCTTTAAGAAAATATCAATATTTCTCTTTACATCTTTTTTCATTAGACTTTCGTGAAGACGATCGAAGAAAATCGTTTTTGTAAAAGATTGAAAATATAAACAATGTGCAAATTTTCAAACATTATGGAAAATATTACAAAAATAATGATGAAAAAAGCAATTTTTATTATCTTTTAGCGTAAAATGACTGATAATTATATGCATTGTAGGCCCTGTACAAATAGTAGTAAACTTAAATAAACTCGTTTGCCCTTCAAGAATGTCATACTAAAAAAAAAATATCAGACTTACAACAACTTCTTGGAAAGACTACAAGAACAGAGTCGACTCCTCTTGCAATTGAAAGAGTTAATTTTCCGTTAAAGAATTAAAAAATGATGAAGTTCTTGAATGTGACTTTTTGTTTTGTGGTCTTGAGTTTAATTTTCCTGAGTGTATCAGGAAGGAGCAATTACACTCTTGGATTAATAGGATACCTAAAAGAAGAATCAAGACTGCACCAGGTAATATTTGTAATTGATGATCAATTTCTTGCAAATGCAGAATCCAATGCTAATGCACAACTCATTCGTGATGTTTCCAAAAACTTCCCTTCATTGAGTATGAGTTTACATAAAGCACAAGATGATCTGGAAAAGTACTTTTCATTACATCTGCAAATTCCTAGAAGAACAACAATGTTTGCTTTTATTCTCAACGGATCTGAAAAGAAGTATGCACTTCAATTAAACGCTACATTGAATAAAGTAGAATTCTTGTCTTATCATCAGTCGTATCCCAAGTGTTTAATCAACTTCTTTAAAACAAGAAGGGCTCCTTCCTATGAGAATGTGTTAAAATCACTATGGCACAAAGACATGCTGGACATTTCTATTCTTGAAAATTATGTTGCAAATCGATCATGGCAAACGGAAGATGTTATCACTATTCACCGAATCAATCTTTTTGCAAAGAAATACACAAAACAGAAAGTTAAGCCACAAACAAAATGGTTTCCAAACAAACTGATGGACCTTCACGGACATCGTATAAGATTAATGTCGTTTACTTTCAATGAAAAATTTTACGAAAGTAAATTTATTGTAATACGAAAATTCAAAGATTACATTATGCAATCAATGCATTGTAGAATAGAAGTTATGGTAAGAGGTAATCAAACAATATCATCGACACATCTCTCTAAAAAAAGAGTTGAAATGGTGTTGGATACAATGTCATTAACTTTAATTAATTATTCTGTTAAAATCAGTAAAATGCCAATCTTGTCG